GTGTGAATTGTTCTCTTTGGAAGATTTTGAAGGTGAAACGTGAGACATTTTCTTATACCTCAGACCTTGTATTATAGTGGCCCATTGGCTTAGAAAAAACTTTAAGACCGAGGTGGAAAAAAAATGTAACTTTAAATTTGCACAAAGTTGCCGTCAATTTGCATGAAGGCGTCGGTTTGCTGGTTGTTATTGGTCGTTCATTTACGCCAACAAACTGCAAGCCGTATAACCTCTAATACTTAAAATTAAAATATTCTCGACTTAAAATACAATCGCTTCATTTGAAGCAACGACAGTGAGACTACTATAACGAAAGAAAACAACTCCAAAATCATGAAGCTACCGGTGAATGGAGCAAGACGTTAGCGATTTCGAGAAAAACTAGTTGAATGTTTATGAAGTACACACACTGAAAGTTTACGTAAATTTTATCAATAACATACCCACATCGGCACCTTGTCCGTACATTTTAACAATTTCTTTAGGTTCCTTTGAAATATCAAATCAAAACAGCCAATGCAACGATGGCTGTCATACGATTAACTCCACTCCTCTCAAAACTCACTCTAAAAAGAACTACGCCATTTGGACCATACACATTTTGCAGTCAGGAACTACAATTTTCCGCTCAGCCGTAAAATCACTTGAAAGGAACAAGGAAACAAATGCTAAGGAACAATTACGCCTAACTGACAATTATGGCGAAAATGAGTTGGCAATTTTGCCCCATTTTACACTTAAAAATGCGCATATTAATGCTTTTAGTTTTTCCAATTCCACACGAGAGCGCTGTAATGACGCTGGAATAATTTAAGGCAATTGCAAATCCAACCTTAAATTAAAAAAAAGGGACAGTTTGTTCTTCCTATAAAATCGCCAGATTACCGATAATTGGTATTGTTCCTCAGCCATCGTAATGCACATAGGAAAACTAATGGTACTTACGTTGTTTCTAGACTGAGCCCTATATTGTAGTTCTCAATTGCGAAATGTAGTCAATTTAATCTGGAGAGTGACAAAGGGAGATCCCAAAACTGATGGCAGTGTAGTCGCGGCGATGGCAACGACGGGTAGCCCGGGAAATTCTAAAAAATGAGCTGCTTTAAATCATCGTTTTCGTGCTCATCAGTGTACGTATTTCAGCTAATAGATGTTTATTTTTTACGGGCGTGGCCTCGCCGACCGCGTGTCCGCAACTCGACGGCTCAAAAGCCAAATTGAATGGACTTAATGGCCGCTAATTTCCTCAGAATTCCGCACCGTACTTTCGCGCCAAGCTCCCGTGCTGTTGTTGCTCTCTCTATCTCCCTCTCCCTCCTTCCCCCTCTCTCACCCTACCTCACCCTCTCTCTCTCAGCGCGGTGCGGATTTGCGCTCCGCCAACTCTACGACAAATGGACCACTAGACCTATGCAGAATAGCAGCAGCATAACGAGGGCTAAGAACAATACCACCTAACTGACAATTTTCGCGAAAATGAGTTAGCAACTTTGCCGCATTTTACAGCAGTATAATACGCGAGATCAGGTATTTGGTTGTTTTCAAGTTTGCATAAGAGCGCTGTAATGGCGCTGTAATATATAAAAAAAAATTGCAAATCTAACTTCAAGGTACTTCTTATTCTTAGTCTTCTCCTCNGCAACTCGACGGCTCAAAAGCCAAATTGAATGGACTTAATGGCCGCTAATTTCCTCAGAATTCCGCACCGTACTTTCGCGCCAAGCTCCCGTGCTGTTGTTGCTCTCTCTATCTCCCTCTCCCTCCTTCCCCCTCTCTCACCCTACCTCACCCTCTCTCTCTCAGCGCGGTGCGGATTTGCGCTCCGCCAACTCTACGACAAATGGACCACTAGACCTATGCAGAATAGCAGCAGCATAACGAGGGCTAAGAACAATACCACCTAACTGACAATTTTCGCGAAAATGAGTTAGCAACTTTGCCGCATTTTACAGCAATATAATACGCGAGATCAGGTATTTGGTTGTTTTCAAGTTTGCATAAGAGCGCTGTAATGGCGCTGTAATATATAAAAAAAAAATTGAAAATCTAACTTCAAGGTACTTCTTATTCTTAGTCTTCTCCTCCTTCTCCTCCATCTCTTCCTGCTCCTCTTTCTCTTCCTTCTCCTCTTTCTCCTCCTTTTCCTTTTTCTTCTCTTTCTCCTCCTTTTCCTTTTTCTTCTCTTTCTCCTCCTTTTCCTTTTTCTCCTCCTTCTCCTCCTTCTGCTCCTTCTGCTCCTTCTCCCCCTTCTCCTCCTTCTGCTCCTTCTCCTCCTTCTTCTCCTTCTCCTCCTTCTCCTCCTTCTTCCCCTTCTCCTTCTTCTCATCCTTCTCCTCCTTCTTCTCCTTCTCCTTTTCATCCGTCTCCTCCTTCTTCTCCTTCTCCTTCTTTTCATCCTTCTCCTCCTTCTTTTCCTCTCTTCCTCCTCCTTCTTCTTCTCTGAACCGCGAATTGTGCAAAAAAGATGCGTCATAGAAACTTGGCGCATGACTTTTGATTAATATCCAAAGACGAGTTTAATGCAATAAAAAAACTGAAAATCAAACTGGGCACACATCCCCATGAAGAGTGTGCGGGGAACTTTGTTTGAACAAAATGTATCATCGTTCCTGTGCATGTATACCCCCAACGGAGGGGCCCTCCGTTAGTCAAAGAGATGGATTTAATTTCGACCATACACTTGAAATGTAAGATCTTTGAAAGTACATTAATCTCGCTTCACTAATCTATAAAGATCCAATCTGAGAGATCCTTAGATCGGTGTGAAAATTAAATCCTCATGAGCCCCGATGAATTTCGCGAAAGACCGCAAACCTCATTTGATAAATGAACGGATGCAGTGTTTTTCGTCGCATACTTAATTAGGGCTTTGCACTCGCATCCTTCGATCATTATTGCGCGTTCACGTTGTTTTTTACAACCCGGGGGGTGGTTGAATAAATACGGTATCTTACCGTCGTTGACTTGACGAGATAACTTATTCCGACTTCAAAATTCATTAATTTAGGTTGCTCCTTGAAAATTCTCTCACTTCATCAGTCTGAAAGCTGCGGAATGTTCTGTACTTTGAACGGTGCTCATTCGCAGTCGCAGGAAGGGAAGTGAATTACTTGATGGAGATTATCGGTGAGTGATGTGACATTAGTTGACGGGGATTAGCGGAGCTGAACAATGGTATTGAACCAGCTATGCTGCCGGTACTTGAGAAATAGGATCGGTTCAGTTTGATGTAAAAATAAAATCATGGTTTGACCGTTGAAAAGAACAGTTGAAGGAGGAAATGTCTTCCTCTCTATCATTGATTTGACCATTTACCCGGAAAATTTTAATACATTTTGATAAATTTCAAGAGGGGTTTCTAAAAGAAAATTTCACGAGGAAACCAACGGAACCACTTTTAGAACCTCAAATTTTTGTTCAAATGGATAGTAATAAGCGTTTAAAGTTTCCAAATTGTGTCCGACCTCTCCTGTTGACTCGATTCACTGTGCGGCGTAGGCCGAAACGCGTTGGTTTTTTAATAGAAAAATTTCTGACTAGTGAGTGGTTTCAATATTCTAATATTTTACTAATTTGACCTTTTTCAAGAGCCTATTAAGCGATTCCTAATATGTTGAACCCACGAGGGCACTCCACATCTCCCCTGATTACATTGCTCTTTGCCCCGGGGGCAGTGATGGCACAACTCTTCCCCAATATCCGAACGCTGAATCAATCATCGAACTCGGACAGTGGCGTGGCGTGCTTTGCGATATATCGAATGATCTGCCATTTAAAGCTATGGAAAATGATCGATAAACAGGGTGTTCGCAACGAACACCTTAATAATCGATTCTTTACCATAGCTTCAAATGGAGAAATATCGATAATCAATTATTCACGCCACGCCACTGAACTCGGAATGGCCTCCGTTTGATCCTGGCCCGGTGTTGGGATAGTCGACGGAGCGGGCAGCCAACTAAACGCTACTGCAAATGCTGTGAAGATTAGCAGGCTGATCCGTAGATGATTAATATTTGATTCGAGATTATCAATTAATTAATTTCGCTCGTGGGATACGCGGACCGGAACTTTTTACACCGGCTGGCCGCTCTGGTCTGTCCGTGACGGCCGGCACGGATGAAAAATTAACGCACGTCACGCATTGCTGCCTCTGACTGGCCCGTGTTACGCAAGAAGGGAATATATTTTTGGATAATATATAAAAGCCTTTATCCGCGTAAGGAAACTTATGGCAAATGCGTGGCTTTTAAAATGAACCGGGAGACCCAGGTAGCATTTTTCATCGGAAAAATCGCAATGTATTGAAATTAAGTTGCGATTCTTTATTGTTTATTGGCGATAAAATCGCAAGGATTATCAACGCCTGAGCGAATATCCTCAATCTTGTCGCAATATCATCTCTATAAAATTGAGTTCGATAATCATTGGCGGATCCAGATCATCGGCAACATTGTCTTTTCAACATTTGAACCGATGAAAATGTATCGATTCTCTGAGGGGTCCGGTGCTCCGACAAGAATCGATTATTTAGCATAGATTTAAATGGAGGCAATCCGGTGTTGCCAAATTACTGAATCCGTCTCTGTCGATAATAACCAAATTTTATCTTAATTAATCGTGGTTTTTCGAGAGATAATATTACTATAAATTGCTGTCGAATGAGTTGCGACTTTATTGCAAATTTATGCAATGCAATCGCAATTTTTCATCCGATAATATTACAACGAATAGACGTCGATAAAATCGCGAGATGTTCTCCGATCAAATCACAACTTGCCGCAAATAACATTGCTACTTGGGGAGATTGCTCTATTGTGTAATGCGTCCGACTATTCGCTTCGAACGCAGGGTGGCAAAATTTCCTGAAATCGAATATCGTAGAATTTCACAGGAATTTTCTTCATGTAGGTGAAGTTTGTTTTCTTTAGTTCAAAGAATATTTTATCATTGAACATCACCAGAATTTAAACTGTGTTGGTCTTTGAACGTGTTTACAGGCACGTCAGGACTACAAAAACGCATACTTGGCTCATTTATCTTCGCCATCTTCATCTGTTACCTTAACTGCGTACCTGGATGCCCATAACCATTATGTTAGTACACTCCATGCAACGAACGGGATGATCGAAAAGTATAGCCACGAAACATTGCCACAGCTGTTACAGGTGTGTATTGCATATTGCTGCGTCAGCAGATTGCAGGCTCTTTTTACCTCGCTCCGCTTCGTACTTTCCGTGTGTTGGTCCTCAAACATAAATCTGTCTAATATTGTTTGCTTTTGTGCCTTTAACTGTCGGCTGTAAACTAGAATTTTTGCGTGGACTTTCTGTCTCTCTCTCATTTTCTACTAAAATTTATCTGTCACCTTACTCTCAGCTTCCTCTACTCACGCTGTATCTTCTCCATACTTGGTTTCCCCGAACTAACTGTCCTAACACTACTTCATAACCGCTTTCCATGAGTTGATTTTGATACACTGTGATTTGAGAGTTAACTTTGGAAATATTTAGTTTTCTTGGCATGCTCTGTGTGATTTGATAAGAGTTTATTTCTTCTAAGATAATTCCATATGCGGCTAATTTCTTATTGAATTTATATTAAGAGAGTAAAACGAATGCTGATTCAGTTGACGAGAAATTGACACTTCTGACGGCAAGACTGCTAGTTTCAGGTTCTCTTCAATCTATTTCTTCCATTAGAGGAAGTTTTTACATTATCCATCCGGCGCATTTCCATTTTTTTTTGTATGTATGTATGAGCCGCTTTTACGGCGCGCTAGGGCGCTTTGCGACGCCTATTCTCCACAGGAATCTGTCATGGTAGAGATCCTCCGGAAGCTCCATTTTTTTTTAAAATTCTAAAATATTAACAGAAAATATTGCCAGTTTCGCAAAAACATGTAAATGTAGTTGTTTCAAAGCAATTACACGGAGAAGTAAATTACTATCACAAAGACAATTTTTCTTGTCGCAAAAATGGAAAGAAACATATGAGTGCCTTAAAATTTAATTGCCTCGACATTAATTTTGCTTGCCTTCGAGATGATTTTTTGTTGCGATAAGGAAAAGAATTCCAGAGAAATAAATTTCCCTTCCCGCTACAAACGAGTGATTATCGCGACTAGAAAAATTATTGCTGAGGTAATGCAATTTCACTGGGGGTTAATTTGTCATTCTGCTCTTTTGTGACTGAAAAAATTTTCCTGTTGATTTTAATTTATTATTCTGAGTTTAGAAATGTCAAACCTCATTATTATTTAATAAAAGGATATAACTAAGTCCCAATTTTCTAAAAAAGAAAAAAAAACAAAAACAAAAAAGAACATACTAAGTAAGTTCAGCGCAAATGATCTCGTGAACAAGATCAAAATATGAGTCATACTGGGATCTCCAATTCACAACCCTCTCACGTCTCACCGTATTTATAGCACAACTTTCGCCATAACAAGCTTATTGGTGGCATCTCAGGGAGCTCCGAGTTAAACATCGAGTCCGAACAATACACTTTCTCTCATTTCCACTCATTTAACCTCGAATTATTTCAGCCCTCGAGAGCTAACTTTTTCAGCGACGATTTAATTTAGATTTTAAATGAGGAGTGAGAGGCTTGAGCGAGATGATTGTGGTGCAGGCGAGCGAGTATTATTTTATTTTAAAGGCATCTGGCGGGTCGTCTGTTTAATTCGTTCTCTTCAAACTCCGACCCAACTTTTCTGCCCCAGAAAAGTTCTTACGCACGAATATGTTTTAACCGCGCTTATTGCGTTGAAATTAAGGTTATTTTGGCCTTTCTGGTGTTGTCTTTGTAGCTGGTGAAGGCGTGATATTCAATCGTCGCTGTCAGTTTGACGTCACTTCCAAATAATCTATAGGGGGCAAGCAAAGCTTTTGCATTGGGGCAAAATTTTCTGGAGAGGAAAACATCGAAATATCGAGTATTTACACCAAAATTTACACAAATCCACAATAATAACACTCACAAAAGGAAAATTTTAAAATAGAAGGGAGAGTGAACAATAATTGCTCTTCAAACTCTTCCCGAATTAATCGAATGGGAACTACATGGTTTTCGGGAAAATTAGCTAAGGAGGAAGAACTTCAAATTGATATCAACCATCTCCTTAAAATTTATGAAAATTGACAAAAATTACTCCCCAAAAGAGCATGACTTATAAAATTACAGTAAGGAGAAACAGTCTACCCTCCTCCTGACTTTCCCAAATGAATCACAAGGAGTGTTAAAGTTTTCAAAAGGAGACATAATTTACGAATGGAGAACCAAAAAAAAAAGAAATATTTAAAAAAAAATTCAGGATGCTCAATCAAAATTGACGACACCATCCCTAGAAAAAGGAAGCGACTTTAAAATTCACAGGTACAGGTATGGCGTGGGAGGAATTCCCCATCTCGTACAATTCACATTAAGCCCCTGCAGACTCTCATGGTCGAATGCTGGACTCGGTTTGAGGATCGAAGCTTCCATGTTTCGCGATAAAATGTGGATATTTACATGGAATTAAAGGGAGAAACTGCTAATTTTCCAGCACTCTCTGGCAACGACGTAGAGGATCGATGAATAATGCAAGTTTAGCGGTCAATTTAATGATTCGGTTCTAATCTTTAACTGCGGCGAGTGTGAGGCTGGTCTTCGAATCCATTTACGGTTATTAGCCGGTGTCCATTACACAGATTAATCCCGATCCTGGGACTTGGTCCGGACCAGTGACGTGGCGTGCTATGCGATGTATCGATTGATCTGTCATCTAAACCCATGGAAAAAGATCGATAGACAGAATGTTTTCAACGAATACCTTATTATTCGATTCTTTACCACAGCTTCAAATGGGAAATATCGATGATCGATCATTCATGCCTCGAACTTGCGTCCTTGAAAGCGAGTTCCCTGAGGATCGCCAGCTCTCGTGTTGCAACTGCGTCTGTCGCATTGCCCACAACTTTTAATGGCGAAGAGCTCCTTGTGGTTTACAATGTCATTAAGGGTTGTTTTAGGAGATTCTTAGGGCCGTATTCGTTGCCATTCCTTGCGCAGCTTCTTACTCTGGGAAGCTCCACACGGTTTACATTGTGATTAAGGGGTGTATAAAGAGATTCTAGGGGTCGTGTCAAACGGTGCAGTCGGCGTGTAACGCATTTTAGCGCCTGCAAGGCTGCGTGAATACTTCTCACATTGCGCCGACCGCAGCGCAGTCGGTTAGTTGCCGTGTGACAAGAGCCGTTCTTTATGCAGATCCCTTTTTTAAGGAAGCCTCAGAGGGTTTGCATTGTAGCTGAGGGAAGTTCTAGGAGGCATTTACAGAGACATCATGAAGAGCACAGTTTTGTCGGTCTTTGAGTAAAATTCAGGATTATAACTTTGAAAATGGATGCTTGCCAGAGATTATAATGCTTTGCTACTCCAGACAGTACAAAATGAGAAAATTCTACAAATTTTGACCGAAATACTTGTAACACTAAAGAAAAAGTTGAATACAATTAACATCGTAACTACAACTAGGAAATTTGGCAGGACTCGGAATCCATTCAGAGCATTGTGAGCGTAACGATTCTTTTTCCCCCGTGCAGACCCATTGACCGATATTTTATACGTGTGCAAGTGCAAGCCCCCCCCCTCCTCTCGTCTAAATCAATTCAATTCAAATCGACAATTCTGCAACTGATCATTAAATATGCGAGACCCAGCATCGTGCTTCCGTTGCACACTGTGACCGATCTATTACTGCAATTACGATCCTAGCCTTTCGGCCGACAATCGAGTTAGCTCGTCAAGCGAACGTCAAAACAAGAGACTGATTAATGAAATTATCCGGTGATCGATCCAAAATTGAATCATTAAATCAATTACCCTCCAATTCATGCGAGACGTCGCCTGCCACGCGTTTTAGGTCCATAGAATCTCAGTGTACTCCCACAGCGCTTCGCCACTGGACCCCTGGTCCAGGGAATTATACATGCCAAAATGACTGTCCTAATTTTTTGCAAATATAGGGCTATCACACACGTGCTCTACTTTAAACATGACAAGAGACCCTCCACTGGCCTCTTGGCGACAGGCGGAGGCTTTTACTTTCGGGGATTCAACAGTTCCTCATGGACAATTATAAGGGAGCATCAATCATCACTCTTTTTTCAGCTGATGACCTACCAATATGGTGGATGATGAGCTTCGGGTGACGTCATGAGCCAAACAAGTTTCCCAAACTTCGGCTTGTTTGCGAAACAAAACTGCCAACACTTTGTTGAACATCAACCATGTTTACAACAGTTTAATTTCAGTTCCATAAGTAGAAGCTTCCACCATTGCCGAGATACGAGTAGAGGGTGTCTTGTCTCTGACTTTAAAGCAACCGAACGAACATGGAGAAAGCATTTCTAGTAACATTGATTGTTAAAAAAATACCTATCGTACACGCATTAGAGAGTCATTATATGTTATGTTTTGCGTTGCGTTCCGAGTATGTAAAACAGTCTTTTGGCTTCTTTTTTTTCAAACATTTATCTCAAACTTCAAACATTTCTTACACTGTTTTCGTCAAAAATCTGAGCTTTGTTGTCTTCTTGTTCTATCGAACGTGTGAAACTTTCATACTGCATCCGAAGAAAATAATCTAAAAAAATAAGAAAAAAAAAAAAAAGTAATAAATAAATGGAAATAGCAGGGGCTGAGTTCGGTGCGGATCGGATAGGCGACTACACGATGGCACTTGGCAGGGCAGGGCGAAGCGTGCAGTATCATAAAAATTGAAGGCGTTTCAAGCCTTTAAATCGCGCCCGCGGCCTCGCAATCTTCCTCTGCTCGCAGTTAGCAAAAATGAGCTTTGAATTTGAGTTTGAGGCAGAGAGATATGCTAAAAACTCCATAAGATTGAATCGCGGAAATTTTNTTTTTTTTTTTTTTTTTTTTTTTTTTTTTTTTTTTTTTTTTTTTTTTTCAATGGCCAATTCGACCTTCACTGCTTTTGGTTTATTTTCCAAGCGGAAATTTCAAATTAAGTGACTCTAATATCAACCATAAAAGCTGATTTCTTATTTGCTGGATAGTTGGACCATGTATACTGGTATTATATATTCCGCGTGAATTTTTGATGAGGAAGCATGGATTTTAGAGGTCTTATTTTTATCTTGTTTTGTGGTCCAGTCAGGCCCCTTTTATGATGCGAAAAATACGCACTACTGCACATGCCAAGGGAGGAGGCCGTATAAACCTTCAGGTGTTGCCTTTCCTCTAATAAAATAATAATTTTCGGGGAAAATTGTGAATAATTGTCTTCAATTTTTTTTATCTTTGATTTGTAATCAAATCAAAAGTATTCAACGGTAAAACTACCGGACCACAAATCTCGGTTTGCGACGCTGTAGACTTCCTGCCATACTTAATTTTTAAATGAAAACCACTCAACGTCAATTCTTGAAAAGTTCCGTTTATTCTCTTCTCTGTGCTATAAAAAAAACTCGGTAAACATTTCAAGAAACGATATTGATTTGTTCTTCTGCAAAAAAATGAAATGGGAGCGGATATTTTAGACACTGCAAACGAGATACGTCTGGTAGGCGGGTGGTATGAAACGTAAAAAAGAAATGAAAGACTGGAAATTTCAGTGAAATATTTCATGAAATTTCACGAGACTGTGAAATTTTTCGTAATTTTTAGGGGCTAGAGTATGCAACTCGTACTTAAATACACAAAAGTAGAAAAATAAGTCAACATTTTTACATTTTGTGAAGCATGAAAAGGAACCGACATTTTCCAATATCTTTCATAAATGTCTGAAATTTCATGAAATCTTTCACGTGAGATTTCAAGATTCAGTTTTCATGGAATTTTGCCACCCTGCCTGGTAGTCTCACAGTCAATATCCGAGGATTTCCTGAAGAATATCCCTAATTTCCTCAAATATTTTTTTATCCGGGGAAATTGAATGATATATTTCACAATGCGGCAACAAAGCCCGAAGATGCGCGCTTGGGGTGCATGTGCATTTTGTTTTCCTTCCGCGTGACTTGGTCAATATTTGTCGAACCCACTGTGCACTTCTGAGGACATGTTTGCAATTCCGGTTCACGACTAGACGCTGCGACAATTCTTTTTCACAAAAATCGCTCCAGAGCTCGCGGCTCGAGCTTTAACTTCCGGGGAGCTGATTCGGTTCGAGCAACAACCGCATTCCTCCAACAAGATGCCCTTGTGCAAACGTGGTTTTTGAAAAACGGGGTATATTTCGGCTGCGACGGGGGAGAGAGGGAAAGTTCGGGAGCTTTCACTTCAGACACGCAGCATAGTCCTCCAGCGTTTCATTCTAGCGTTCACTCGAGCGATACGAATTGCGGAGATCGAGTTTTCCGGCACGGATGATTTAAACTACGCAGAGAACAAACCTAAAGCGCATTTTTCAATGGAAAAATCGCGATATTATCAAATTAGGTTCCGAATTTACTACGATTGTTTGGCGATACAGTCACTAGGATCATCAGTACCTAGACACTACTTATATTATCCTTAATCTTGGCGCAGGTTTATCGCTTTAAAATTGCTTTCGATAGACTCGAAATTTTATCTCAATTTATCACGGGTTTTTGTTCGATAATTATTGCAATAAAATTGCAATTTGCAATTTATCGCAATTTTTTATCTGGTAATATTACAATAAATTGACGTAGACGAAATTGCGATACATTCGCCGATCAAATCGCGATCACTGACACTCAGAACGAACCGACGAAGATGCATTTTTCATAAATACACTAAAAAAAAGATTATGGTAGAATTTACCATTCATTCACGCTGTATTTCACACAGTGTGACGGAATGGTAAATTCTTCCATATTCTTTTTTTTTCAGTGTGCCTTTCGTGAATGGGAGCTTAAAAATGTTAATATTTTAAGCGTTTTGAAAAAATACCGACGGTGATAGTAAAAAAAAACACATACTTTGTTCGCGTTGTTTTCAAAAATTCTCTTCTCATTTTTATATTATCAATAAAGAGCAAACCAACACAATTGTTTGAAAATTTAACATATTACCAGTTCTTCAGATAGAGGAGATATATCAGGAGAGCCTCCAAGGCATGAGCCTGAAAAAATACCGTTTATAAAAATATTGTTTTACTTGAAAACTGAATAATAACAGGATTTCTAGGGAGTCACCAACTGAGAAATACGTTTTTGCAGTTCCATCGTTGAATATGCAGGGTCTATTGTTGTTACACGTGGGAGCTATCACCCGCAGGGCCACATCTGAAAATAATAACGAGAAAAGTGATTACAGCGGATTAAATGGAAAGGTAAACCCAAAAGTAATTTAATCAAACTCAATTAGAGCGAGAGAAAGGAGTAACCGGCACTGCTGAGACCTTCCAAAAATACCAGAGACTTAAAGTGTGTTATTAAACGTCCTTAATTATTCACGGCTTGACGGCTGGGCGGAAGGTTCAGAGGTCAAACGTCTCTAACTTTGAAGGAACGAAAGTTTTTTGACCTTCGGTATGGTGCGTGGGAAGCGGGTTGATTACGCTGAATCTGCCTTGAAAAATTTATAAAATAAATAGCACAAACTGTTACAAATTAACAATGTTAAAGCTATCCTATCGGTCAAGACATGCACACCGAAAAAAAAGTATGCGGACTTAACATTCTGTATGTAAAAAAGCGTGCGACAACTCACAAACCGCTGAATTAACAACCACAGCAGTTACTATAGCAATGTCAAGATGTAAAACTAACTGTTGTGGTGGTTACGTCAGCGTTTTAAGAGTTGTTGCACTCTTTTTTTATAACCAGAATGTTAAGGTAGCATCTTTTTTGTTCGGTGTATCATGAAACTTCAACAATTTTAAACGCTGGAACGCAGACGCATTGGGAATCCGTAGATTTTTGAATGGTTTGGCTTTTGGAAAAAATATTAGCTATTAAACATCAGTGTTTTTGTGTTTGTATCCTTAGAGATAATGATTTTGTCTAACTCAAATCATTGCGTGCTTTTTCGAATGTCAATGAGCTCAATCTAATACATGTCCCATATGATCATTCAGTTGTTTTCAGCCTATCTATTATAAAAATCGATTCTTTTTTCTTCTTCCAGGAATTAGAAGACGTCTATTCAGATCTGTGTAGCACACTGTCGGATTCAGTTTTACAGGGTGCTGAAGTCATTTCTGCAAGAGTAAGTATCACGGGAAAATTTAGTAAATTTTATAACATGCTCTTGGGGATTATTGGAGGACTAATTTGCTATACATCTTAATATCCTTAGTGGCAACGACTGTTGACAAAAGTGTTTTAAAATATTCGAAAATTTAAAAAAAAAAACAACTTCTAAAAAACCTTTTTGATTTATCGTACATATAACAAACTGCTAAAGAACTCATGAAAGATTTACTGCAGTTTCCCACATGTATAATAGTTTAAATAATACTATATACAATAATTTTAAAACATTAAATCCATCTTATAAAGATTTTTACGTTTTTATTTTATTTTATTTTGCACTTGCAAAATATCGAAAATAACAATCAAATTTAATGCTCTAACATTTTTAAGAGGTGTTGTTGATTATTTTAAGAAGTTGTCGTTACTGTGACTATGAAAATCAATGAATATTAAATATAATTCAGCATACTAAGTATCATATTTTTATTGATTTTAAACTTCATGATGGATCTCATATAAGTATTAGTTTTTTGCAAGTTTTACAAATGTCCCCGTCTTTCATTATATATTTTTTTCTGATGGGCGCTTTCATCCAGATTCCTAAACATCACTTTTCTTAACAATCTTTGAACCAGAAAAAATTCGCCCGGCGGTAAGGCAAAAGCGGTGAGACTTGGAACGTGCAGTAACAGCAGATTGCTCGCTTATAGCTAACGTTTACTCTCAGCTTATTAGGAACTTTATAATTTGTAAAATAACCAAGTTTAAAAACACAAAGAAAGCGTTGGGTGAGCATTAAGCCGAGCAGTTCTAGGAAGTGCACGTTTCCTGGGAACTGCCCGGAAATGTCTTCATCACGGGCGAAATTCTTTGTTTTAATTTTGTAATTTGATGGAAACCTACTTTGATTTGAGAGTTTTAGTATATTACTTCGGAGATTGAATTCTCGGTGCATTCTCGGAAGAATTAGAGCAGTCTTGCGTAAACGCTGCCTTGTCTGCACTGCCGTGCTGAGGAAAAATACCGTATAATTGTGCCAACGTTGCCAAATTTCCTCGCGATTAAATATGTATTTTTGAGGGAAAGCTATGGAGGTGTTCCCTTGACATTTATAGGTACTTATGATCGGAATCCACACAAACTTCTCTTGAAAATTTGGAGGAAAATATTCACAGCTCCCTTGAAAATTCACGTTTTATCTAAGGAAATTTGGATCCTCTTTAAACCTTCCGTCGTAAAATTTTATTTCGCACCAGGAGGCGTGGTCACATCGCGGTCCATTTCCCGAAACGCTTCGCACCTCAGACATTAATAGCAATTATAAATTTTAATATTTACATTATTGACGATTTTATAGTGATTTCAAGTTGTTAGCACGATGTTGACCAACATTGATAGTCCAACAATTTAAGGCCTTTTTATCATGATCCTATTTTAAATAGTATGGCTTGCCTTAAAGAGGTAAGAAAAATGCAATTATACTAAATGTTTAGCCATCAAGATTTTGACTGACAGAGATGTTGATTCTGCAATCATGCCGAACTTAAATTCAGCAAAACACTAGAAAAGAAGGAAAAAACTTATTCGAGTATAACGCTCCCTCCAAGAGATTAGCTGTTGTAACTCGAGAATATCAAATTACCTCAAAATGATTGCATGATGACAAAATCATCTCTATCTGAAAATAATCTCTCTCTCTGTAAAAGAAAAACTCACTTGTTTAAGGTGATTCGATGCGGACGCTACATTTTGTGTCAGAGCGCCATGCGATATATCGCATCAATTGGTTCCATTTTATTAGCTACTCATAATTTTTCTCGAATTTTGAGATCGCGATTCTGTTGTCAGGAGACTAGAGAATTTATTTACCCATTTTGATTAACAAATTCAACGTAATAAAGGCGTCGTAGTTTTAGAAAAAAAATATCGCATTCGAGTGCAGTTTCGATATCAGTATCGAATGCGATATTTTTCATTTAAAAGAAAGAAACCTTTATTACGTTGAATTTGTTTGTCAAAATTGGGAGGGGAATTCTCTAGTATCCGGACAACAGAATTGCTCAAAATTCACAAATCGCAAAATTCGAGAAAAATGACGAGTGGCTGAAAAAAAGGAACCAAGCGATGCGATATATTGCGTGTCGCTCTGACACAAAATATAGCGTCCATCAAATCACCTTAACCGCTATCGTCTGTCATTGAGAGATTCTAAATATTTTCACCGAATTGCTATGTTTCCCTCTGATTCTGGCTAATTTGCACGCATTCCATTTCACAGGCAATCGAGCAGTCTAGAAGATACGAGACTCTAAGCGCGCAATGTCGATCTGTTCTGCCCTCCAACGATCTGGCTCATTTCGTTCGGTCTCTCTCCCCGCTGCCAACCCACCCCCACCCCACGCATCGATTAAGACTGTTCAATCCTCCCCAACCCCCTAATCAAGAACCGCCGGACGGTGCCCAACCCGATATTTTTCTTAATCACGTAAGTACCACTCTGATCACGCTCGCATTGTATCAATAGTTAAAGATCTTAAGCCGATTACGACTGCAATCAGCGGATGGAAAGTAAGTCACGTAAGTTAAGACAGAGAGAAGAGTATTTCCATGATTCGTCTCCTTCAGATTCAATGTAAAATTGTTGTTTTCGAGATAAAAGCACGTAACTCAATTTCAAGGTTGCGAAGTTAACTCAAATAATCAAATTATTTACAGAAATATAATTTTCTTCAAAACTATTTCAAATTCTTTCGCAGGACTAGACGAAAAATCATACATTTTCGGTTAAATATGGCCAACATTTTTGGCGCAAAACCACAATTTTGGACTGGAAATTTTGCAGTATCGAGTGATAGTTGCGCTCATTTGTCTATAATGCAAAAAGGATGTGAAATCTAAGTCCTTGTTTGAAAGATTGAAAACTTTCCGTTGGCGTTAATTTTGGACGGAACGGCAAATTTTATAACGCTCGGTCATGACTCGATTGTTTTTAAAATATAGATTCATATCCGTAAAGCATTTACTAACTAACTAACTCAGAAGATGTATAATATGGGCTTTTGAAATGTATACTCAACAGAAATAATAGGGTAGAGTTTTTCAAAATTTGAGATCCTTCTTCAATTGAAACAAAACCTTTATCATGGATTAATAACTAGCGCTATCGCTAAGGATAATTAGAAAATTTATAACACAAACATGTTTGGGATAAGTATTATCATAAAAAGTTTTGTTCCTACGCTCGTTGAAAAATCTGCGCATCTTAAAATAATCCATGCATTGCAAGTCTTTTATGGTGTGCTCTCTTGTACCAAGCATTCCTGAATCGTATATAATTTTGAACGGACACAGCGAGAAAATAATTCAAATGGTAAAACCAGTCGAATTTATCTTAGTGGTAAATTTTTTGTTTTTTAAAAGTCGAGTAACTTTTTTTTCAAGTCTATGATTTGAATAAAATCTTACGAAATAATCGAACTTTGGTTCTTAAATTTTACACCTAATATGTCTTCATTTTGTTGCAGGAAAATTTACCTCCTTCTTTAAGAAATGAATTAGTTATAGATCGATCGGCAAGTTTAGACATTAGAACAAAGTACGATTCACTGAGGGTAGAAGAAGCTGATCTAATGGCTCAAATTTCCAAATTGCAAGATAGCTTAGACACGCTCTGTCGGATTCAACAAAGGTATTTATGAGTCATTTTCAACGAAATAAAAATACCAAGTATAAGCTGTACTTTATGAAGGAAATCATGTAAACGGCTCTGATAACGAACTCCACGGAGTCAGATATTTAAATAGGTTTCCTTGCATTTTAGATGCAATTCAAGTTCTAGGTATCCAACTCAATCTAGTATAAGCAGTCTCTACTGAGCAGTACCAAGTTATTTTTCTACACCATCTGCACCATCATCGCAAATTCCAATAGTGCAAATAATTTCCAATGCGTATCTGCGAATCGCAATTCAGATGACGTTGTAGGAATGCTAACGAAAACTGCGTAGGCGAATTTGGGGATTTTAATTTTTTGACCGTGCTACAGGAAGGACGATGTATTAATCTAAATATACGTTGCCAAATTATCTTTGATAAACCACCAATAAAAAGAGAATTCTCATAGATATTCTTTTCCCAATTTTACAAAGAGGTGTATACGAGTTCATCTAAAACGTCTGATTGTTTTGATGGAAAATATCTTTAACGTGCCTCAAAAGTAATTATCATAGCACAGACGAAGAAATTGTGCAACATTGGAAAGTTTGTAGAGCGTTTCTTACAATCGCCTGGCTTAAGGTCATCAAATTCAAGACTATTGTGCTTGATTCCATGATCCCGAAAAATTAGAGCCAGGCATTCTACTTGAGAACACCAAAGCGCCTGCAATTTTTGTGTATGCAATACGGCCATCCTATGACCACGAATAGTTGCATCCGCGTGTTGCTACGAAGAAAGACTAAGCGCCTTCAATTCTTCCCGTTTTTATCGAAATGAGTCAAGTTATTTCACTTGTATGCAATCGTTTCACGAAGAAGATTTGAGGTTGATAATGCTATTAAAAATAATTATAAAATAAAAAAAAAAAATAAGTGATGTAAAATGTTTAGTATTAGACAAAATGTAGCTTTTATTTTACTCAGATCTGCAGAGGCAGTTACAGTTACAATTACAAAGACTAAGTAAGTCGTTCGAACACAGCAACCCTGAGTTTCTTTGACGATACCAGCAAGATTAAAACCCAATTAGCCGGCCAAACTATTATGAGGAATAATTTCACAGCCATTATTAAAATAAGCATTTCAGCAACAGTATCAGTGGCACGGTTCATAAGGTCGGTCGTTCACTATTATGTCCTTGACATCCTCGAAAACTGGTAAAAACCAGTCATGCCATATTAAATAGCCACAGTGTCTCCACCAAAGTTATACAATATCATACAATCCCGATAGTTTAGGATCGCGGTGATCTAGAAAGAATTCGAATATCTTCGGATTTTGAGTTTCATGTAAAGTCGCGTCCTAAATTGGCGCGCTGTAGATTTCTTATGCTGAACTGAAGGATGACTTCACACTAGCATACCAAAATTATTACAATGTTGTAGCAATATTATATGAGGTAGAGGTAACATCGTGACGGAACGTTGTGTGAGAATATTTCTAACTCGTCATTTGTAATCTGATCACTTCTCCACATTGTGAGCAAATGTTACATCAATATCGTCAAAAAAAAAAAAAAACTTAGGTAGGATCAAGAGGCCCTTAGTGAATGCTTATAAATCTCAGAGTATAGAAACGCATTTAAGAAAACATTTATATTTGCGACTCAGTCGAACAAGATTGTCTGAAATGTAACCAGAAATCCGGTGACAATGCCGTACTGTTAATAAAAATCTTTAATATTGCTGGCAGCAGCTGGTTTGTGTGAAATTACACCCCAACTCTTGCATAGTATACCGGCTTATCAGCTTCTGGCCAATGAGGGGAAAATTATGACGTCATATATTTTACAACGTTCTGTATATAATTACCACTTTTTGTGGAAGTAGACATCGGGTTAAAAAATTACACGTGATTTTTTCTATGTGGTAAAAATTAATGATGAAACGGCCGTTCTAAAATACCGTGGCAAGACCGTTCTTACACCGTGGCGATAAATATCGATAAAAAACGCTATTGCCTGACTTTAAGGAGCAATTGATGTATAGATAGATCGGCTATAGAAAGCTATAAAAAATCCAACCGCTGGGAGTACAGATCTTAACGGGCTGGAAAACATATCGCCCCCACAAGCTTCGCCAATAAAAAGCTGTAGAAGATAAACAGGCTGAAGATAAATGGTGTTTTGAAATAATTTCCTATCATTTCAAATATTTATTAGAGCTATGTTAGCAACCATTCCTTGGACTTTAAAAAAAGAAAAAAATGTGCTTTCATTCTGATATTGGCGGATGCTGCATTGCTGACTCATAATAGCCTCTTGCCCGATGTACTTTTTGCAGGTTTTACTGATCCTTTTGTCAAAATGTGATAACTTAATTTATTTTTTCTTCTAACAGGAGCGTGGAATCATCTTTATTTAATAAGGCGAATGAAATACAAGAAGATATTAGTGTAAAAAAGTTAGATCTCCGGACTGCTCAGATTCATTTAGCAGCAGTTAGAGCACAGGTAAGTTTTTTGAGCAAATGTTTAAAATAAAGTATAAAGTAATCAGTTAATAACGCTAATCGTTGACATTAGTGTCAGTCTGTTGTAGTATAAAACAAACAGCCAGTGCATTTTTTTCTTTCTGTGCTTGGACAGTTCTTACGAAGCTTAGTTCTCACGAGTCTTCACTGAAGTCTTAGGGGCTTCGTTGCTTAGGTGTGATTACAATACTGCCGAGCTAGCGAAGAGAGCCGTAAGTGCGAAAATGAAGTTTTGAGGAAATGGGATCAGTAGCTTCGGAGCGGAAAACTTTATTGCAAGAAGCCTCTGTCTTAGAAATCGTGGCGACAAATATTATTTCAATAATATAAAAAGGACATTATTCATTTTCATGTTAGGCTAGTGCTAGGCAAGACAGCCGTAAGTGCTATATTATGCATACATTCGTGGTTACATTTTGGACACATATAGAACACATTTTCAGATTAGAAATTGGCAGGAAAGGGCGGCATTTTACTTGGAAACTCGGTCTTCATTGGCTCTCAGGAGGAATGATGTTAGTTACGGCTGTTCTGTTTGAAGCTGTATCATGTTTTGCGCACTTACGACCTTCTTATCAGTCTCGTTTTAATACAATTAAGATCAATTTTGCTGATTTCAGTGATTTTATTCAAAAGAGATTAGTCGAAATTTGAAGGAGACTCGATTTCGAAAACTTGACACTTACTCCTCTCTTCGCTATCATAGCAGAATATCTAGGCTGAATCTTAACCAGAATCAGCTTGATTTGATGACCCTGAAACAATCAGTAGCGTTCAACTTATTTCCCACAAACTTTTGGTTCTGCCTCGGCGGGTCCAGAATTAACTGTAGGTTGATGTAATTTTCTGACTGGGCTTAGAATTATAAATTATTTTTCTACATCAAAAAAGGTGAGAGTCCAAGCAAAAGACACTCGTCGAAGTAGGTAAAAGGAAACTTCACAAACATGCTGAGATAACTAAATTGTTTGCGGTTTCGACGACTATAGCAACGTTTTTAGACAAATTGTTGGTGTTTTTGCCAACCTGCGTAAAACTGCGAATACAACTGAAATTCTCATTTTAGCGAAAAAGCTCGTTCGAGCATCATATTCCCTAGTAGAAAAATATGCAGTTTGGTGCAACTGTAATAATGACCAGCCAGGAAGACAGCTCTTTACATTGCAAAGAACGCTATCGTCCATACAATCTAATGCTTTTCCGTATGCAGTTACGCCCATTATTCAGCCAAGCGACGAATTGAACAACTGTTCATGCCTTAGAGATGTGTTTGTGGCATTGGCGAAGAATTGAAGAAGCTGCGCTTTTTGGGTCCTCGCAGCACTGCCCGCCGATGCAGCGCCCTACCGCGGGTGAAGCGGCGAGTGTGTACAGAATCAAAACGCCTTCAATCCCGTGCGTATGCAACACGGACAACCACGGAGCCCGTATAGTTGCATCAAGGCGTTACAATGAAATTTGTTCAGTATTGGCAGTATGCGACTCTAACTGAGGCTGATTAGCTTCTCTTAAACAATCTATTCTAAAATATCGATTTAAACGGACGAAGAACAGAGTTGCCAACTTGCAAAATCGTCACTGCTCCGAGATAAGTGGTAGAAAATTCAGGAGACTGCGCTGCACTGATGATGGGTTTTTTTAGGCCCAAAATGCGTGTGCAGTTGCCTTCCTGAATGGTCTTAACTAGTGTTGCACCAAACAGCATATCTCTTGGTGAAAAAGTGTGCTTTAATGAGCTTTTCCTCCTCTGAATTTAGATTTTCAGTTCAATACTGAACCAGTGGCGTGGCGTGCTTTGCGATATATCGATTGTTATGTCATTTAAACCTATGGAAAAAGATCGATAAACAGGGTGTTCGCAGCGAACACCTTAACAATCGATTCTTTACCATAGGTTTAAATGGCAGAGCAATCGATACATCGCAATTCACGCCACGCTACTATACTGAACCCTACCGCACGTTGGTAAAATTACCACATTTCTGTTTAAACGACTCGTGCGGCGAATTGCAATCGGTTTGGATTAATATGCATAACTTTCTCCAAAGATAAAGTTTTAATCAGTGGAAATTTGGCAATATTCAAAAGGTCTTACGGTGTTTTTCTATACGGCAGAATAGGTCTGTATGCGGGGTTCCGAACTGCCAGTAGGTTTATATACATTTTTAGCTTGAATTTGTCTTTAACTTTTCCGCAAAATATATTGGAAAAATATGTCGGATGCGCGCTCGAAAAATTGGTCCTGAAGTATCCATAAAACGACTCAACCGCACACGTTGTTTGTAGGTCAGTAAGTGGAGGGGCCACAGTTTATGTCAGGAGTGTAACGTCGTGACACATGCGAACAATCACTTGGTTGTTTAAACAATTTTGGAAAAATAACAATGCCGTGACGAAGATCAGTTTACTTCATTTGCATAATGAGCAAGCTTGAATGCAATCAATATGTAAAAAAAGCAAGCTAGGCGTCCTCAGTTTGGGTCACATGTGACGAGAACTAGACGAATTTAATTATAACGCCTGGATGCAACTATTCGAGCTTCTTGGATGCCCGTGTTGCATACGCGCGCAAGTGAAGGCGTTTTAACTGTCGAGGCACTCATCGTTTCACCCGCGGAGGTGTAGCGGTTTGAGCAGGCTGCACTGCAAAGATTCAAAATATCAGAGCACCTTCAGTTTTTTGTTCATACTACAAACGCATCTCATAGAGACTAATGTTGCATATGTTATAGCGGCAAAACCCGATTCCAGGCAAAACTAGTTCTGCCAGAAATGAACCGGCAAAACTAGATCTGCCTAGTCAAAACCTGTTTTGCCTGATGTGCGTAGGCAAAACTAGCCGACCGTAGGCGGAACTAGTTTTGCCTACTGATGTTCAGGCAAAACTGATGAGGTCCGGCAAAACTAGTTCCGCCAACAAAGAGGCGTTGTGTCCAACCCCATAGTGTACTCTCAGAAACTCTCAGATGAATAGTAGGTGCCAGGTGGACCTGATTGACTACCAATCACAAGCAGATGGTCAATTTAAATTAGTGTTAAACTACCGGGACCACCTGACTAAGTTGTGTGTTCTGAAGCCTTTAGAATCTTAAAAAGCAGCCACGGTTGGTCCGGTGTTATTAGATATTCTTTTAACTTTTGGGTCCCCTTGTATTTTACACTCAGATAATGGACGGGAATGCGTCAACGAACTTGTAACTCAACTTGCTGGATTATGGAAAGAATTGGAGATTGTCCATGGTAAACCTCGAAATTTGCAGTCAGGGCTCAGTGAAGCCTGCGAATAGAGATGTGCAGGACATATTTTAAATTTTTAATTTTGAATTATTGTTTTTATTTTAAATTTTTTATTTTTTTTTTTTAAGTTTTGGTTTACGTAGTTTTCCTGGTCTGGCAAAACTAGTTTTGCCTGGTCGTGTTCAGGCAAAACTAACAGCACTCCGGCGGAACTAGTTTTGCCTACTTTGCGCAGGCAAAACTAGATTCCTCGGAAAAATACATTTTTGCCTAGGCAAAACTAGTTTTGCCTGGAATCGAGTTTTGCCGCTAACACATACAAACGTAGAATGCGAGTACTATTTGGACCGCGTTATACAGAAAAGAACCAAGCCACATCAGCTACTTCCAAATTTAACAGGGGAATTTGATTTTTTACAAGAGGACGTTGGTTCGGATTCCTTTGAACATTTTAAGGAATTTGCTTTGTATTATGGAGAAAATTCATAGGAATTTGCACAAAAATCCGCACAACCGTTTTCATGTACATACATATAGGTCGCTTTACAGCACTCCCTCGCGCTCTACGACCCCTAACCTCCACTGCTCTCTTTCAAACCACAAATCTTGGGGGATTGAGCACCTTAACATTTCCGCTTCAATCCCTTCCCTCCAACCTTTCATTGGGCGCGCCCTCTGCGTCTTCTCCCAGGAGGAACCCAGTCAAGGACCTTTTTCGGCAACCTGTCTCCTGCCATTCTCTGGACATGACCATACCAAATGAGTTGTTTTGTCATAATGTCGTGCACGATGGTCTGCTTGGCATCCATGATCTCCCGTACCGTCTCATTTCTGACGCGATCCTTTCTGGAAATACCAGCGGATCTACGCCAGAAGTCCATCTCTGTTGCCTCTAAAACCTCCCGGGTCCGCTGTTTCATCGGCCATACTTCACACCCGTAGGTTACTATGCTCTTGACAATCGCGTTGTAGATCCTTCTTTTGTTCTCTTTGGAGATCCTTTGGTCCCAAAGGACTCCATTTAACATAGCGATTGCCCTCCTACCCTGCATATTCCTGTTCTTGATGGCCTGGTCCAATCTTCCATCCTGGGTTAGAAAAACTCCTAAATATTTGTAAATATCGCAGCTTCCAATTTGCCGCCCATCCTCTAATTCTATACTTTGCTGATTCCCGCCAACGGTCAACTTCTCGGTTTTGCTGACATTCACCTCGAGGCCCCATTTCCGATACTCAGCCACCAACTTTCGAGTCATGTACTCAGCATCATCCTGATCTTGGGCGATAAGTACTTGGTCATCAGCAAAGCATAACGTGTACAGAGTTTCTTCATCATTCAGAGGGACACCCATTCCGGAACATTTTTTCTTCCATTCACGCAGTACATGTTCTAAGTATATTTTAAACAAGGTGGGGGAGAGGCACACCGGGGGACCGTTTTCATGTAAAAAGTTAAATTGCCCGATTAAATGTGGCAATAGCTGATGTGGCTTGGTCCCTTTCTGTTTAACGCGGTCCATTTGTGCTTCAGTTTTGATATCGCAATACATATGTCCTGAGAGTAATTTCGTCAACTTTCTGACATTAGGCTGTGCATCTCCTGCGATGAACGGACCGATTCTTATCGCTAGTAGTCAGTGGCGAGGCTTGAATGATCGATTATCGATAAATCCCCATTTGAAGCTATCGTGAAGGATCGATTATTGAGGCGTTCGTTGCGAACACCGGGTTAATAGAGCCTTT